TAACTATACTTCGTCTTACCGTAAGGCGTGGTTAGCAAAGACTAAGGCGATTGAAAAGGTGTACGGAAACTAGGAGGAGTCATACCAAGAACTTCCTCGCTACCTGAATGCACTCAAGACGTATTCTCTGGGTACTGTTTACGTTCTGGAAACAGTGCCAGCATACGCCTAAGATGGTAGTCAACTAAACAGAAACGGAATATTCAGTCGAGTGTTTTGGGTATTTCAACCTTGCATCACAGGGTTTGCATCATGCAAACCAATTATACAAATTGATGGGACTTGGTTGTATGGGAAATACAAAGGCACGCTACTGATGGCAGTTGCACAAGATGGCAATAACAACATTTTCCCCATTGCCTTTGCCCTAGTCGAGGGGGAGACCGGTGGTGCTTGGAGCTTTTTTTTGAAAAACCTGCGAACACACGTGGCTCCTCAACCAGATCTCTGTTTGATCTCGGACAAACATGCCTCCATTGAAAGTGCCTACAATAATCCTGCAAACGGTTAGCATGACCCTCCTTCTACGCATGTCTATTGCGTTAGGCATATCTTCCAGAATTTCACAAGGGAGATCAAGGACAAAACACTAAGGAAAGCGTTTATGAATGTGGGATATGCATTGACACAACCCACATTCAAATATTACCGCAACGAGATCCGTTTGTCAAATCCGGAAGCCGGTAGGTGGATCGACAATATTCTGGTGGAAAAACGGACTAGGTCATACGACAATGGCCAAAGATGGGGGCACATGACAACGAATCTTATTGAATCGATGAATGGGGTATTCAAAGGCATACGAAACCTCCCGATCACTGCTTTGGTAAAATCTACGTATTTTAGGATGGTTGCGTTGTTTGCCAAAAGAGGTGAAATATGGAATGTGGTGTTGCAATCTAGACAACTATGGAGTGAAGCTGCATGAAATACATTAAGGCAGAAAGTGCCAAATCCAATACTCATATGGTTATACGGTTTGACCGACACAGCCACAACTTCATTGTGAAAGAAACAATTGACCACAATGAAGGTCTGCCAAGACAAGAATATAGGGTCATACTACCTTCTCGTTGGTGCGATTGTGGCAGGTTTCAAGCATTTCGTATGCCTTGCTCTCATGTCACTGCCGCTTGTGCTTATACCCATCAGGACGCGCTGCAACTTCTGTCACACATTTACAAATCTGAAACGTTGCTCAACGTTTACAACAACAGCTTTCCTTTGGTAGCAAAACCAGATTATTGGCCTGCATACGACGGCGAAATAGTGTGGCACAATGACCAAATGCGAAGGAACAAGAAGGGTCGTCCCAAAAATAAGCGCATCACAACAAAAATGGACGATCTTGACAAGCTGGAAAGAAAGTGTGGTTTATGCCGTCAGGTTGGACACAATCGCAAAAATTGTCTGAATCGGGCGTCTGCCTCGACCACATAAAAATTGTAATACATAAAATCTTTTCTTAATTATGTTGTAAACATTAGGGTTTTTCGTTAAGAATTTTTGCTACAATAAATATTGCGCGTACAAGAAAAATACACGATATTCCGTCTACGAAATTACAACTGTTAACACAATTTCATCTGACCCATGCATCATCAACATTACATCACTGTCTGTTTTGACTTCCTCCAACCATACATTAGGTCTTCCTGTCGCATGTGAGGTTGTTGTTCATCTTCGCTGGATCCTTCGAATTTTTTCCCCTCCGCAATGTCTCCGTCTAGCCATCGTATCAACTCCCGCTTCATACGCTCCATGGAGTGAATGTGCCAGAATTTCATTTTCATCGCAGGTTTCGTGGCGGAGAAGATAACGTAACCATCTCTGGTAAAAATCATGGGCGAGGTCATGACGCAAATAACAGAGTAAAAAATAACAAAACAGTGCGAGAAAGTGTGAGAACTTACGGAGAAATGGACAAATTATTTATAAAACAGCATTTTGCCCTAGTTTTGCCCTAAGAGCCAAGTGAGATGGCGCCTCATCTGACTTTTAAAGTGCATGCGCCATCTCACTTGGCTAAAAGTGAGAGGAGGCGCCAAGTGAGATTGTGTCTAGGACAAAACCCTAGGTGGAGGCGCCAGGTGAGATGGCTCCTCCTTTGTGGAGTCATCTGAAATATGGTTATTTGCGTAATTTTTTCCGAAACGCGGTTATTTATGAAATTTTATTTTAATACTCGATTATTGTAAAAAAAAATTCATGGAATTGTCATATTTAAAAGTTGTTTGACCTATATCATCATTAAAACCAACTGACGGTTATACAAGTAATCATATAGATCCAAGAGGCCTTTTTATTTTCCTTCTCATTTCAATCCTTTTAAGGCTTATTTGACACGACGTTATCTACAGTTACGTTAGCAACAAATCATTCGTATTTAACAACGAGCCAAATATTCTTATCTATATACATGATATGTACACTCATGCAATCTTTTCGATAAGCATAATTTTCTCCATTAAAATCAAGAGCCCTATATGCGCGCCATTTGGATTGTGGCTAGTGATATTCAACTTTTGAGGTAGTTATAACTTGATTAAAAGACTATGCTATGATGACACTTATTCGTTTTCAAAAGGCTGAAGTTGGTTTTCAAAAACATTTTGATAATATGTTTTTGGATTTTTGTTTAAAGTGAACCTGGTCGAATTCACAAAACTGTGATAAGAAACTAAGCACAGTAAATCGATTTGATCTTATTTCAATTCAAACTAGAAATCCAAATCGATTCGAGCTAAATTATAAGAGAATTTATTTGTACATTTAGTAATGTTGATTTACACTTTTGAAAACTTGAAAATATCTTTCGGATATACACATCCAAACGTATCTCTTAGCAAGTTTCGGATATGTACATTCGAAGACACTTTTTTTCCCACGTTTTAATACTTACACGTTAGATTTAAAATTCTAGAAGTAGTTTCAGATATGCATATCTGAAACCACTTGCGATTATGTCAACAGATATTTCAGATATGCATATTCGAAACTACCTCTGTTTGTGTCATTTTTATTTAAAACATCATCATTACCTCTACCTAATAAACGGACAAACGGACAAACATAAAATGATACGATTTGGACGAAAAATGAAATTAACATAATAATACGGACATAACAATTAGATTAGATGTTCAGAAATAGGAAAACATAATATAGTAAATAAGTTTTTCAGAAAGTGCGTAATGTCAAAATATTACATCAGTAAAAAAAAACATAACATGGACTACTGCTACCGTGTATGTCTAATCCTAACCCCCTTGTGACCTCCTTTGTCTCCTATATTACACCGCACTGGATGCGTCAGTAACCATCCTCCCAACGATGACAACCGCCTCAGAACCGCCCCTCTCAATAATCCTGGAATCAAATGCCTCATGTCCAATGAGGTGTATCCACTGACAGATCAGCAAGAGATCAGTGGCATGGTCATCCTCGGCCTGCTGGTTCTCCAAGAGCTCTTCATGAGCTTGCCTAGTGGACGTCTTGGACCATCCGGTGTCATGATAGGTGTGACACGTTAAAGAACCATGTCACGTATCCCTCTATACAATGCCAACTCTGAGATGCCGGCATCATCTGATCATTGATTCTAACTAACCTAATAAACTAGTATAGTATTGCATAGTGAATCAAATGGAAATGGAGAAAACTTACACAAATTTAAAGTTTTGGAGATGAGTTGGAATGACTTGAAATGAGTAGAAATGAGTAGGTTATCTAAGTTTGGGTAGTAGAAATTAAGGGTTTTGAGTAGAAAAATGAGGTTTATGGGTTTGTAAAGAAATAGGTATGTTTTGTTCGCGGTCTTCATAACAATTCAATGACTTCGAATGTGCACATCCGAAGTGTTAAATTATGGAGTGAATTCGGATATGCACATGCGAAGTCACATTTTCTTGACAAAATAAAATGACTTCGAATATGCACATACGAACACAGATTTTTTTTGACAAATACGATGGTTCGAATATACATGTCTGAATTCTGAGAGTACTTTGAGTTTTTCGTCAGAGACCTAGAAAAAAAATATTAGGTGTAAAAAGAAATTGGATTGTCTAAAAAAAGATATCTAAACCAAACCTACACTACACATACACATAAAACTCTAACAACTTGGAAATTTAAACCTAAATCATACAATTTTATGCAAGAATGCAAAAGAAATAGAGTTAGAGAAATTGCGTATAGAATTTATACTAGTTTAACTCCCTTCGTCCTCGTAGGAAAGCTTGGTCAAATCTCTAATGATAAATCATTAGAAATTTCTTTCTTCCACTATATTCATACTTAGATTTATGTTTGATATGACCAAGAAATAACTACAACATATATAGTATAATCAGTTACCAAATGCTTCCAAACAAATATATTTCTAGTTCCAAAAGTTCATGGACCAAGGTTCTCTTAGGCATTGAACAAATCCTCAAACATTAAGACTCTTCTTCAGAGTCTCCTTGAACTTTTGCCAATAGACCAACATCTTCAATTCTGGCTTTGGATAGTTATAATGGATCTTTGAAATAGTATTCAAAAGAAACTTCCATTGCACCTCAAGAGTAGAACTCAATTCTTACTTTGCTTCAGAGAGTCACCACTACGATTCTATATAGCTGGAAAATATCCACTGCAGCACATTTTTTAAACAAACTCTGCTAATGAAATTTGAGAAAAGGTAACAATGACAGCATAGTAGCAGTATCATTAGAGTTCTCATTGGAAGAAACTGCATCTATTAAACTCATAAAATTTACATGAAATGTAGCAGCATCAATTTCAATAGTTTTTTCAATCTAACAAAAATATTATAACTCAAGAGTTTGCGCGGTTAAACAACAACATATGATAACAATTATGATCTTCATTCATGTAGAGTCATAACTTTCAAAAGTGCTTTATAATCCTACGAAAACGAAGGAACAAAAAATTCAAGGCAAAAGAAAAAACCTACCTACCTACCTACAATCTCAAAATCCTCATTATTTTAATTTTCAGGTCAACATTCCCAAATCATCATCGTCTACAATGATTACTCCGTCATCGTCATCATAGCCATCTTCCTCTTCCTCTTCCTCTTCCTCTTCGTCATCCCATTCGTCAAGTTCATCATCATCTTCTTCGTCTTCATCATCAATTGTGCTAAACTCGATAGGGGGAGGGCAATCTTCAGTGACTGCTTCGTCCATCTTTACCAGAAGATGTCGAATGATTCTTTCATCTTTGTCCAACAAAGTCTTGAACTCGTTGATATATTTCGCATCCAACTCGAAGTTCATTAAAATGTAGTGTGCATTATTAGCTTTCTGTATTTTGTAAGCCAACTTTCTCATACCCCAATCACTAAATCTCCACACTGTTGCTTTCTTCTCCCTCAAAAAGTCTGCAAATGTTTGGAAAAAATCACAAAAACAACCAAAATAATCAGAAGATTATTTTCATTAAAAAATTAAAAAAAGTTAGAATGGTTTTTTCTGCTACACAACACAACAATACTATAGTGGCACTATAATGACTATTTAACAACATTTTGTTCTAAATATTGCATCTCATAACAATAGCAATTTGGTCGAATTTCGTTAAGGTATATATATGGTTACTATCGCTGTTATTTTAACAACACTAGCATGAATGCCATGTACAAACAATAACCTAATGAACTCATTCTATAAACAATTGAACAAAAATGTTTGCGAAATCGCAAACTGCGTGACATTACCTTGAATTTTCTCATTGACAGATGCAACCTCTTCATCATGCTTTTCATGAATTAAGTAAACAATCTCGTAGTGGCGCACTGCATTGGCAAAGAAGCAGAGAATTGTGAGATAGAGCATGTTATTTTCTCTGAAAATATAGATAGCTATAATAGGAAGCCATATTGCTTCATAACATGTTTAGGGCGAACAGACATATATGTATGTAAGACTTCACTCATTGGAACATGACCCATATTACTTCATGACATGATTTAAATCACTGTCGGTAATCGTTAATTGTTTAAGACAGAGTATTTGTGAAATTCCTATGACAATGGTTTCATATCGTCTCTAACATAAAAGAAGAGAGAATTTACTCACATAATTCAGCATTCATATCAGTTTCCACTTTAAGTGTCAACGATTCGTATAGTTTTCCTGTAAATCAAAATGACAAAAAAGAAAAACCAAACCCAACACATTAATCGATAACTATTCAGCATATCATGAGACTAGAGCAGGTGAAATAACTAAATTGTAACCACTCACTTTCATCATCATCTTCAAACTCCGGAAGAAGTTTACCATCTTCCTCAACTACCTTCTGAAAATTACAAATCAAATTGAATTTCAATGAAAAAGTTCATCTCATAAAGATTAAAATCACACTTAAGATCAAAACCCCTATTCAATATCATTGAAAAAATTCATCTCAGAACAAAGACAGATTTATGTTTTTAAATTGCAGTCTGCAACCGCAATTGCGACCGCAATATTGCTGATGTGGTATTCTCCGCAACCATATCGGACCGCAATTGCAGTGTGATTCGAAATCACGCGTCCTTCCACATTAGGAACCGCACCTTCAAGTATTTTTGTCAAAACTCAAAATTTAGAACCCAAAACTCAAGTTCCTTCAAAAAAATCTTAAACATTAAATTCTTTTAACTATGTATTTCAAACTCTTCTCAATTAAAATTCTAACAATTTTATATGTATATACTGAATGAGTTTTCAAAAGGGTCTTAAAAAAAACCCATGAAAACTTGCGGAAAATGACACTAAAATGAAAATCACACCAAAATGAAGAGTATAGGTAAAAGTTGAACCTTTTTAAGAAGAACAGATTCAGGGAAGAACCCAGTGACTTCACCGAATTTGGGTACAAAGCTATGGCTATCTTCTTTCTTACCTTTCTTAGTAGCATTGGTAACCAGTGATAATGAACTGGGTTTATTCTGAATAGAAAACTGCGCTGAAGATGAAAATGAAGAAGAAAAGTAAGTGAAGTTGAATCGAAGAGAATTTGCCATGATAGCGGTTTTTGGAGGTTTGGTTAGAAGATAAGAACCCTGGAAGAGTGCCTCCATAGCGAGAGAGAAGAAGTAACTGGAAGGGTGTAAAATTTCATTTTCATACATCCCTTAACTAATTTATTATTAATTAAAAAATTTAAAATATTTATTAATATTATTATTATGAAGAAAAAAAACAGGAGAATATGTTAATATGAACAGGTTTTGAAATTTAAAAAGTAATTATTTAATAATTATACGCTAATGGTGTAAATGTTTTTATGAATCATTTAATTTGCATATGTGTCCAAACGTGATAGTTAGTTAGTTAACAATCCGCAATTGCGGTGTGAAATTAACTATGATTCTGATATGTAGATTTTTTAAACTAATCTAAATAGGGTAAAGTAAAGTGTGTGGATGTTGAACAACCTAAAAATATAATTTGAAAAAATAAAAAGATAAAGTACGTAACATATTTTGCTTGGTTGATTTATTAATTGTGATATTTGTAAATGAATCAAGTGCATGTCTAGTTCATAATAGGTTGTTGGATTTTTCTCGGGTCTTGTCCGACGAAATGCTAAGCGCAAGTCCAATTTAGAATAGAAGTCCTCGAAGTCATTGCTTCAAAGTAGAGGAGTTATGACTTAGGTTAAGTCGAGCAGCGATGAGCTAGTGGCACTGAGGATCCATGTAGCGACCTTTGGGATTTTGTCATTCGTCTCGAGTACGACCGATAGGGATGCGGGCATCAGCTTTTGTGTGGATAGGGAAGATGTTGTATAAGTATCGTGGTCGGGAGTAAAGGCGTGCCTGCGGAGAACGTTCTCATGATCCAGCTTCATGGGCCACGTGTCGCGGCATTTAATGTGAAATGATGACCTAGGTGTAGGGTTCATTATGGTCTAGGCACATGGGTGGCTGCGTGCCGGGGCACTGACACGGAACCCGAAGTGACGTTTCGTCTCCCGTGCAAGGCTTATAAATAGAGAGCTTAGGGTATCATTTGCTTTGTTTCACATTTGCTCTTCCCTCACACCTCTCTTCTCGGATTTACTTTCATCCTCCGCAGTCGCCGTCGTATTCTCCTCCACAGCCTCCGTCCAACTCTTAATCAAGTAAGTGTTTCTTTTTTCTCTCTGCACTAAGCATGCATTTTAACATGACCTTCATGTTCTGGGGAGGTTCTTCCCCGTGAAATTCATGAGTTTGTGATGAATTTCACGTTATGGGGAGGTTTTCCCCCGGGACATCCAAGCATTAGGATGAATCTCACGTTCTGGGGAAATTCCTCCCCGTGAGATTCATGAGTTCATGATGAACTTTATGCTTCGGGAAGATACTTTCTCGGAACATTCATGCATCTAGGATGATTTTCCGGTTCTAGGTAGGTTCTTCTCTGTGAGATTCATGAATTCGTGACGAGCCTCACGTTATGGGGAGGTTCTTCCCCGTGAGACTCACGAATTCACGATGAACTTCGTCGGATGGGGAGACTTGTCCACGTCTAAATAGTTGATTCAGTTGTGCCCTTCGTTGAGGGGCTCATCTTAATTTCCCCTTAATCGTTGATTTGACCATTGAATTCACTATTTTCCTCTGCTTTTCAGGCGATATGAGATGGTCGACACGGTTAGCGATCCCCTACAACATTGGGTTACACCCGAACCTCGAGGCATAGCGTGATGCGGTGGGAGAACTGACTTGGTTGTTTTGCGTTTGTGTTTGCAAATGTTGCGGTTTAGCAAGAGTCGCCACCGACTTTTCTTTTATCCAAAAGGAAAGGTGAAAAAGCACAGGAAAGACCTTTAGAGATGTTTTCTTGAGTTCGGGGGGTAGATTATGAAAAGGGAAGGTATTAGCACCCTTTTCATCCATGGTTTTCCATGGGCTCTTAGTTACTTGCTAGATCACTTGTTTTTGTTTGAATGTGCTTGTGGCATGGTTTTTGAAAGTATTTTGAAAATGTAACTTTGTAATGATTCTTGTTTCTATAAGAATGCGTACAATGTGTTGTTTTGAAAATAGTTCAAAAAAGATGTTTGTGAAATGTGTTTTTTGAAAGTGATTTTGAAAAGGGTTTTCTTTGTAATGGCTCTCGTTTCTATAAGAACGCGTACTAAGTGTTTTTCCTTTGAAAATATTTCAAATGAAAGTGTGAGTGTATAAAAATGTTTTTGTTGTGAGCAAGCGAGTAACTGAGAGCGGACCTACCTACTGAAAAGGTCTTAGATGTGCTTTTTCTCCTCCTTTAGATGTTGTTATCTTACCATTGTTTTGGTAAGAAGCCCCATCGTTGGATGTGAAGGGACGGGCGCGGGTCATCGTATAACCATGATAGCAATGTTGTGAGATGACTTAGCATTTTTTCTTTAGGGACTAAGATCATTTTGAAAGACAACTTTAATAGCGTCATCGAGGGACTATGATCTTGTATTTTTGATTTGTTTGTGCTAAGACATCCCACATGCATAACATGGCCATTTTTCGTAAGGCAACAAGTGGAGTTAACCTTAAGGGTGCTAGTGTGCAAGTGTGTTTGCTTGCATGCATTTAGTCTTGCTTAGGGTGATCTATTTATCAATTTCATGTCTTGCCATACACACCCTAGTTACTAGCATTTATATTCGAAAGTAATAAATTGCGGAAATGTAAAGCCCTACGCTATTACAATATTTGGGGATGAGTTATACAAATTTACAAATGGGGATTGCAAGGAATTTAAGTGCTAATTATCTATTACAACCATATTGAAATGCATAATATAAGAAAGAAATAGACTTGTTTAGAAAATGTTTTTGTCTTAAAGAAGTGAATTCCAAACTCTTCTCAATTAAAATTCTAACAATTTTAAATGTATATACTGAATGAGTTTTCAAAAGGGTCTTAAAAAAAGCCCATGAAAACTTGCGGAAAATGACACTAAAATGAAAATCACACCAAAATGAAGAGTATAGGTAAAAATTGAACCTTTTTAAGAAGAACAGATTCAGGGAAGAACCCAGTGACTTCACCGAATTTGGGTACAAAGTTATGGCTATCTTCTTTCTTACCTTTCTTAGTAGCATTGGTAACCAGTGATAATGAACTGGGTTTATTCTGAATAGAAAATTGTGCTGGAGATGAAAATGAAGAAGAAAAATAACTAGTGGAACGGGATGTGAAGTTGAATCGAAGAGAATTTGCCATGATAGCGGTTTTTGGAGGTTTGGTTAGGAGATAAGAACCCTAAAAGAGTACCTCCATAGCGAGAGAGAAGAAGTAACTGGAAGGGTGTCACATTTCATATTCATACATCCCTTAACTAATTTATTATTAATTAAATTTTTTAAAATATTTATTAATATTATTATGAAGAAGAAAAAACATAAGAGAATATGTTAATATGAACAGGTTTTGAAATTTAAAAAGTAATATTTAATAATTACTATATGCTAATGGTGTAAATGTTTTTATGAATCATTTAATTTGCATATGTGTCCAAACGTGATAGTTAGTTAGTTAGTTAACAATCCACAATTGCGGTGAGAAATGAATTATGACTCTGATATGTAGATTTTTTAAACTAATCTAAATAGTGTAAAGTAAAGTGTGTGGATGTTGAACTACCTAAAAATATATTTGAAAAAATAAAAAGATAAAGTACGTAACATATTTTGGTTGGTTGGTTTATTAATTGTGACATTTGTAAATGAATCAATTGCATGTCCAGTTCATAACAGGTTGTTGGATCTTCTTCGCAGTAGTGTTGGGTTGGATTTTGTCCGACGGAATGCCAAACGCAAGTCCAGTTTAGAATAGAAGTCCTTCAATTTGTTGCTCCTAAGTAGAGGAGTTATGATTTAGGTTAGGTCGGGCATCGATGAGCTAGTGGCATTGAGGATCCCTGTAGCGACCTTCGAGATTTTGTCATTCGTCTCGAGTACAATCGATAGGGATGTGGGCATCAGCTTTTGCGTGGATAGGGAATATGTTGTATAAGTATCGTGGTCGGGAGTAAAGGCGTGCCTGCGGAGAACATTCTCATGATCCTGCTTCATGGTCCACGTGTCGCGGCATTTAATGTGAAATGATGACCTAGGTGTAGGGTTCATTATGGTCTAGGCACATGGGTGGCTGCATGTCGGGGCACTGACACGGAACCCGGAGTGACGTTTTGTCTCCTGTGCAAGGCTTATAAATAGAGAGCTTAGGGTCTCATTTGCTTTTTTTCACATTTGCTCTCCCCTCACACCTCTCTTCTCGAATTTACTTTCATCCTCTGCAATCGCCGTCGTATTCTCCTTAGCAGCCTCCGTCCAACTCTTAATCAAGTAAGTGTTTCCTTTTTCTCCCTACACTAAGCATGCATTTTAACATGACCTTCATGTTCTAGGGAGGTTCTTCCCCGTGAAATTCATGAGTTTGTAATCAAATTCACGTTACGGGGAGGTTTTCCCCCGGGACATCCAAGCATTAGGATTAATCTCACGTTCTGGGGAAATTCCTTCCCGTGAGATTCATGAGTTCATGATGAAGTTTATGCTTCGTGAAGGTACTTCCTCGGGACATTCATGCATCTAGGATGATTTTCCGGTTCTAGGTAGGTTCTTCCCTGTGAGATTCAGGAATTTGTGACGAGCCTCACGTTATGGGGAGGTCTTTCCCCATGAGATTCACGAATTCATGATGAACTTCGTCCAATGGGGAGACTTGTCCACATCTAAATAGTTGATTCAGTTGTGCCCTTCGTTGAGGGGCTCGTCTTGATTTCCCCTTAATTATTGGTTTAACCATTGAATTCATTATTTTCTTCTACTTTTCAGGGGATATGGTCGACACGCCGCAAGTATTGAGATGGTCAACACGATTAGCGATCCCCTACAGTATTGGGTCGCACCTGAACCTCGAGGCATAGCTTCATGTTATGTTGAGTCTATAAGCAGCTTGTTCACACATGTCGAGGACGGGATGGACGATCCAAACATCGAGAAAAATTGGAAAGTTGTCAAGCTGACAGGGAGCGGGGGGATATGCTTGTTTTATTCGAGGAATCGCATCCCCATGTATAAATTTGTCTTCAAAGAGCTGGG